CAGTGAGGCTGCAAGTTACAAACTTACTAGGCCAAGGGTCCTGTGGGAATGGGCATCACGGTCACCACAAGGCACTGAGGATGTGATAAATGTGTAGTGATCCCAGAGCTCCAGGAAACACAAGTCCTCTCATCATGTGGTGTTCTATGTACATTGTCGTATGTACATATCATGTAGTATGACAGGTAGTTCATGTCATATGTACACTGAACTACCACTGCCTCTTGCTCTGCTTGGACATGCTCACTGTACCAAATCAGTGACATACCATACCCATCTTTGAATGAGATTCTCTCTTCTTGAATTTATATCCATGAGAATGATGTACACACAGTGCTGCATACTTTTTTTTTTTTCTGAGACGGAGTCTCACCCTGTCGTCCAGGCTGGAGTGCAGTGGTGCCATCTCAGCTCACTCCAACCTCTGCCTCCCAGCGATTCTCGTGCCTCAGTCTCCCAAGTAGCTGGGATTACAGGCGTGTGCCACCACACCCAGCTAATTTGTTTGTATTTTCAGTAGAGACAGGGTTTCACCAAGTTGGCCAGATTGGACTTGAACTGCTGACCTCAGGCCATTCGCCTGCCTCAGCCACCCAAAGTGCTGGGATTACAGGCATGAGCCACGGCACCTGGCCACTGTATACTTTTAAAATATTAGTGAAGGTTGGGTTGGGTGTGGTGGCAAACGCCCATACAATCCCAGCATTTCGGGAGGTCAAAGCAGGCGGATCACGAGATCAGAAGTTCGAGACCAGCCTGGCCAATATGGTGAAACCCCGTCTCTACCGAAAATATAAAAATTAGCCAGGCATGGTGGCGGGCACCTGTAATCCCAGCTACTTAGGAGGCTTCGGCAGAACTGCTTGAACCCAGGAGGTGGAGGTTGCAGTGAGCTGAGATCATGCCACCGCACTCTAGCCTGGGCAACAGAGCAAGACTCTGTCTCGAAAAAGTATATAAAATTCAAATTAAAATAAATTAAATAAATAAAATAAAATAAAATAGTTAGTGAATTGTACCACTTTAAATATTCAAAATATAATGTTACGCTTCTGATTCCTTGTGTTAACTCGGGTATTGAAGACAATGCCTAAATTATGCCATGGCCAACAACTCATGTGTGTGTGAGTGTGAGTAGGTGAACAGAATGGCCTTAAAGACAAGTCCATAAACTGGGAAGAGACAACAGAGAAAGTAGTCTGGTTCTGTTTGTTTTATTCTTAAGGATGAACACTTTCAAGCAAAAATAAGAGCCAATTCTTCCCAGAAATGTTATATGCTTAAAATATTGATTGAGAATGTCTCTCCAAAAACAAAAGCAATCTGCCATAATAGGGCTATGATGATAACCAAAAGAAAAAAAAACCACGAGGAGACATAAAAATATTCGCTGCAAATTTTCAAGAAAATCAGTAAGTGTCAAAGAAGCAGTACAGCCATCCTAAACATAGCTTTATTTGTTTTGTGCCCACCTGACTCTTAGTTGCACTGATCCAGGGAAAGAAGCTGGTTTCATTCCATGTGGAAAGGACATAAACCTGTATCAGAAGGATCCTAAGAGGTGACAGAGTCCAATCCACACAATATCAGATGAAGGAAGCCGTCCTCTACAACACCTTACTGGACATTGGCCACCGTGTTCACCCACCGTGACAAAACCCACTGCTTTTTACACACAGTTCTAGATGGTTTCCCATGATCTACTTGCAACCAACCTTTCCAGCTTAGTGTCAATGACTCCCTATTACTCATCCAATGCTGCAGCCACAGGGAGGAAGACTCAGTGTTTTCGGTAGTAGTCCTTCCCTTATTTTATTTCTGTACCCTCTGCCTACAATACCCTATGTCCAATACAGCTGCGGGCCTCCCACAGGAAAAGCTACCCATCCTCGAGGGCCAGCACAGACACCACCTTCCTCCTGCTGCCTCCTAGCCCCAGCCAGAGCTAAACCACTTCTCTCCTTTGCATCTGTACACCATTTTTTTTTTCCATCTCAGTTACAGAACATCTCATTATAATCACCTACTGTCTACCAGATTTCTGATCTATCAGTTTTCAGATTTCAAGGGCAGACCCTCATCTCTCTTGTCTGGCATATCTCACAGGGTTTCTCATAGGAGTGTCTGTCAAACTGAAATCCAACAAATGATTATTGCTAGACATCTATACATACTTAAGTAGCTTTATTAAGCTATAATTCACACATCATACAATTTGCTCATTTAAAGTGTATAACTCAATGGTTTTAGTATAATGGTGGACTTACACAACCATTACCACCATCCAATTTGAAAATATTTGTATAACCTCAAAAAGAGATTCCAGTGAGTTAGTATTCCTTCCTTCATTATTCTCTCAACTCCTCCAGCCCTAGGCAATCAGTAATCCACGAATCTAATTTCTGTCTCTATGGATTTGCCTATTCTAGACATTTCATGTAAACAGAATCATACAATATGTGTCTTTTGCGACTGCCTTCCTTCACAGACATAACGTTTGCAAGATTCATCTATGTTGTAGTGCTATGTTATCAGTGCTTCACTCCTTTCTCTTCTACTGTGTGGATCCACCACATTTTATTTATTCATCAAAAGTTCGACATTTAGATTGTTTCTACTTACTGGCTATAGTGAACAATACCGCTATGAAAATTCGTGTTCAAGTTTTTGTGTAGATGCATGTTTTCATTTTCACTAAGGAGTGGAATCCTCACCAACACTTATTATCTGACTTTTTAAATTACAGCCATCCTAGTTAGGATAAAGTTATTTCAATGTAATTCTGATTTGCATTTTTCTATTGACTAATGATGTCAAGCGTCTACCATTCCATGTGCTTATTGGCCATTTGTATATCTTCTTTAGAGAAATGTCTATTCAGATCCTTTGTCCATTTTTTAAACTAGGCTATTTACCTTTTCATTTACTGAGTTATATTGTGAGTTCTTCATATATTCTAGTTGTAAGTCTCTTACCAGATGTATGATTTGCAAATACCTTCTCTCATTCTGTGGCTTGCCTTTTCACTTTTTTGATGGTTTGCTTTGTAGCACAAGTTTCTAATCTTGATGGAATTCACTTTTTTTCTTTTGTTGCCTGTGCTTTTGGTGTCATGTCTAAGAGGCTTTGCCTAACATAAGATTGCAAAGATTTACTTCTATGTTTTCTAAGAGTATTAAAGTTTTAGCTTTTAAATTGAGTTCTTCAATCCATTTTGAATTTTTTTTCCCTTTTGAGACAGGGTCTCACTCTGTCACCCCAGATGGAGTGCAGTGGCACAATCTTTGCTCACTGCAACTTCCACCTCCCAGGCTCAAGCAGTCCTCCCACTCAGCCTCCTGAGTAGCTGGGACCACAGGCACATGCCACCATGCCCAGATTAATTTTTTTGTATTTTTGGTATAGATGGGGTTTTGCCATGTTGCCCAGGCTGGACTTGCTCTGGAGCTCAGGCAATCCACCTGCCTTGGCCTCCCAAAGTGCTGGGATTACAGGCGCAAACCACTGCACCCAGCCATTTTGAATTAATTTTTTCATCTTTTTGTATGTGGCTATTCAGTTGTCCCAGACTCATTTGCTGAAAAGACTACTGTCTCCCCAATGAAGGGTCCTGGCATCCTTGTCAAAATTCAGTTGACCAGAGATATACGGGCTTATTTACTGACTCTCGCTTCTATTCCACTGACCTATATGTCTATTCTCATGCCAGTAGCACACTGTCTTGATTACTGTGTTTTGCAGCAAGTTTTGAAATCAGGAAGTGTATCAGTCCTCCATATGAATTTCCATATGAAGTTTAGGATCAGCCTGTCAATTTCTATAGAAAAAAAACAGCTGGGGCTTTGATAGGGATTGCACTAAATCTGCAGATCAATTTGGAGAATACTGCCATCTTAACAGTATTAAGTCTTATGATCCATGGACATGGGATATCTTCCCATTTATTTAGGTCTTCTTGAATTCCTGTGCATTTTTTTAGACTGAATCGACATCGCTCTATCACATCTAAGATATCCATAAATTTCCCTCCTTGTTTACCTGCGACTCTCATTAAAATAGAAATATGTAAATGCTGCATATTTTCAGGAGAACTCTGAGGACTGTAAAGAATTTGAGGTTTTCTTATTTAGCTGGAATGCCATATTAGGTATTAAAGTCAGTGAGGTTAAGTTTCATGCTGCTATCTTTTGAAAAAAATGTATTGAAGAAAAATGTTACCAACGAAACAGATGATTTTAAAACTAATACATAATGTACATGATCCTGTTTACCTACATAAAGTATAAAAGTACACATGTATGTAAGAACATAGAAAATACTTTGGGAGAAAATACACCAATTTGTTTTTTGTTTGTTTTTTGAGGACGGAGTTTTGCTCTGTCACTCAGGCTGGTGTGCAGTGGTGTGATCTCGGCTCCCTGCAACCTCCGCCTCCCGGGTTCAAGTGGTTCTCCTGCCTCAGTTCCCATGTAGCTGGGATTACAGGCGCGTGCCACCATGCCCAGCTGATTTTTGTATTTTTAGTAGAAATGGGGTTTCGCTATGTTGGCCAGGCTGGTCTCGAACTCCTGACCTCAGGTGCTCCACCCACCTCGGCCTCCCAAGGTGCTAGGATTACAGGCGTGAGCCACTGCAACCGGCCACCAATTTGTTACAGTAGTTAGTTATCTTGGCCTGGTGCTGTGGCCCATGTAGGTAATCCCAGCACTTTGGGAGGCCGAGAAAGGAGGACTGCTTGAGCCCAGGAGTTCAGACCAGGCTGGGCAACATACTAAGACTCTATCTTAAAAAAAAAAAAAAGAAAAAAAAAAGTATCTCTGGGGAAAAAGGAGCAATGGGATAAGGAAGAAGAGGACTATCACTCTACTAGCATTTTTGCCATAAAAATGTTTTTGGGCATTTCTGGTGTCATTTAAAATACGATAATGACAAATATAACTATGCTTCAGTGAAAGAGTTTTTCAATATATATCAGCTTAATAGTTAATAACCTGGCTGACCTTGAGATCACAGGTGGTGTTGAGCAGCAGGTTGGAAGGCTTGAGGTCACGGTGCAGAACGTTAGCTGAATGGATATATTTTAACCCTCTGAGGATCTGGTAAAGAAAATAGCAGATATGGTCGTTGCTGAGGTGTTGTGTCTTCAAGAGCTTGTAAAGATCTGTTTCCATGAGGTCTTGTACTATATATCTGTTTGCAAAGGTTAAGTAAAACACCAATTAGCTGGTCATATTTAGCAAAGCGTTGAAAACAAAAATGCGTCCTCTCCTGACTCTCTTCCCAAACAGTCCATTATTACACCATGAGGCCCTTAAAGGAAAGAAAAACCTGAGGAAAACTTGGTTTCTTTCATGGAAGGAATCTGAAGTCGTTAACTTCTTTTCGGTCCTGTGAGATGGCAAGAATTACGGCATTACATCTGACTGATGCAGCTATGGGCCTAGACTGAGATCTGAAACAGGCTGTTACAGAAATTCTGGTCAATCTTCAAGTCTCAACCTCTTTGTTCTCTAAATTGTCCACCATCAACGAACTCCCTCCAAGGTTTGCTGGAAATACTGGTGGCCTGTAAGTAGCACATATTCCCTCCTCTGTTTGGTCCAGTAACCTGTAATGTCACTATTCTTTTTCCTTCTTGTTGCCGCTCCCCTCCTTTCCCAACCTCCTCAAAAGCCAAACATAAAACTTCCAGAAATACAGGTCTAGAAACATACCCTTACTAGTAAATCCAACCCTAAGTCTATTTTCTTACTCTCCCATAACTGTTAAGATCCTAAATAAATAAGACTATGGGCAAGTCGTGCTAAGAAGGGGTTTGTGCGTGTTTTGCTCCTCTTGCTTTCTTGCCTGGTCACTTATTTAACTACCTAAAACTTCAGCTATGGCTACTTTCTTTCTAACAGAAATTAAATTATTAAAGCATTTAGCCTTTAACTTCATCATAGTATTATTTCATTAGCAGTATTTCTGCATTTTTTTTACTCTCTTCTGTGTAAATAATATTCTCTGTTTCTTACAGATTTATGCTAGAGGCGGCACAGCATGGGATTCAAAGGAAACATGATTTTAAAATCTGTCATTTGAGAGAGGCTTATTTTCATGGCAAAAGTAAAGTAGGACCAACAGGTGGTAGTGGCAGGAGGCATTTCACTTCAAATATCACTACAACTTATTAACAGAGCTGTTTAAAAATGGAAAGGGCTGCCTAGAGACAGCGAGCTCCCGCACCCTGGAGGGTGGAATACAAATTGGGTAAACTGGTAGGAGTGCTGTATAACCCTCTCCCTTCTGGCAGATCCTCTTCAGTATACTTAACCTCTCTATCTTTCAAATGGAGTCTTTGCCCAGGCAGCATCCTCTAGACCTGTTCAGTCCAGATATCTAAATGTTGGTCATAGTTAATCACATAATTTCAGAGCCCAGTTGACCTTAAAGATCATGACAACCAGTTCCTTCATTTTAAAGGAGGGGAAACTGAGACCTAAAGTGGTGACCTGATTCTAAGATCAGGACAGTCCTAATTTCACCCGTTAGATAGCCAGGGCACCCTCTTTCTTAGTCTACTACTGATCTTCCCTTTACCTTTTCATCATCACAACAAACCATCTCTTGGACAGAAAAAAACATGACTGCAAATAGAGTTAACCAAGATTTTCCATGACTAGACTTAGGGAGTAAATAGCAAACAGATTACGATTTTCCTTTTAGCATGTTTAAAGCACTTTTCCTTTAAGTTCAGGAAATTTCAAGTTCTATTTACTCAACAAAGTTACCAAGCAGTGGAATTGGCTAGTTGCCTAAAAAGGATACACATCTTTCATTTGCTCGATGGTTGGTGCTCGAATAATGTCATTGATTCCAATGATGTTCTCATGTCTGAAGCGCAGTAAGATTTTTATCTCCCGCAGGGTTCTCTGGCAGTAGGTCTGGTGCTCAAAGGGGCTGATTTTCTTGATAGCTACTCGAACTTTGTTGACATTATCATAAGCAGAGCTTAAAAGAGAGAGAAAGACAGATGGCATTAAAAACAGCCCTCAGAATAGTTGAAGAATGCAAACTGGCAAAGTATTTTATTTTTAACACTCTGTGTAAACACCTGTTTCATACCTGTGAAGGTAGCATGTATATTATCCACAAAAAGGCCTCAAGCTAGGGAGGATGGATGCAACTGACATGAGATAGCATACAGCGACTCTCAAAACTAAGACAGAACCTAGACCTGTTAACTGGGTGAATGTGTATTTTCATAAACCCAGAAATACACAAACAAGCATTTTCCCATTGTCTTAAATGGCAACTGCATTCTGGTGAGAATAATCACTTCTGCCTCCAAAACACCTTCCTACTGTTGTATCAAATTCCTCTGACACAGAAGAAACATTCAAATAACCGACAACAGTACATCTTTATCCCTAATAAAAATGGACCCAAGAGAACACCTTGATGATTTGTATCAACTTTGTTTCTCTCACTTGCAAAATGACATGACCATTTCTTCCAAGAAACTGAATCAAGATGTTTGGGTAGTTTTATAAGAAAACCTAGAAAGTATTATTCGAAAAACACATCTGCGGCAGCAACATGGGGCCCAGTTCTTTCCAAGTTGTCCTTAATGTCTAATATACCAGAATTCTAAGTAAAAGCAATAATAAAAATTATACCTTCAATTTTATGAATTTGAATCTTGAGAATTACTACTATCTTTATGATAAACATTCTATTAAAATCTTGTGTATAAGAAATTTTCATACTAATAAATGTCAACATCTGGCCCACTGACCAAAGCAATAAAATAACACTGACAGGCAATAAGACATTTCTTGTTTCCTTGGGATAAGTGCTAGAACAGAAAACAGTAAAATAACTTTATTCTAAAGTTTATGCTTCTAAGGCCGGGTGCAGTGGCTCACGCCTGCAATCCCAGCACTTTGGGAAGCTGAGGCGGGCGGATCACTAAAGGACAGGAGTTTTGAGATCAGCCTGGATGACATGGTGAAACTCTGCCTCTACTAAAAATACAAAAAAATTAGCCAGGCATGGTGGCACACACCTGTAATCCCAGCTACCTGGGAGGCTGAGGCACAAGAATCACTTGAACCTGGGAGATGGAGGTGGCAGTAAGCCAAGATTGTACCACTGCACTCCAGCCTGGGCAACAGAGTGAGACTCTGTCTCTAAATAAAGTTTATGTTTCTATAATAATATTTATCAGTCTACTAACCCAAAGAATTATTGATATATTTATCTGATTCTATGACAAGATAATGCTCTAGAGGGGAACTTCGTCTTACTAGGATCCAATTATCCTACAACACCATTAACACACAGTACACAGGTGGCCCCAAATGCTCTGAAATATAATATATTTTCTTAAGTAAAAGAACCACTACTCAAATCTTATTTTGCTTTGGTTTGGTGCATGAGGCCCTAAGCCAGTAATTTTCAACTAGACAGGCAACAGCATACATAATAATAATAATTTAACATAGCATTAAAAAGCATATATAATAAGCAAGCTTATTCAATATTGGGAATATTTTTAGAAATAAAAATTCTATTTTGGTAATTCAACCCATAGAACAAGAGTTCAACGACAGGACAGATTAGTTACAAAATACTGGTTTAAACTCAACATTACAACTTTCTAGTGTTAATATTATACAGTTCTAGTGTTAACAGTCAAATGTGGCCACAATTTGCTCTGCAAAATTATAATCCAAAAAAATTTTTGGAGAGAGGAGCTTATGGTCAGTGTGCCCCTCTACTATATCAACACTCAGTGATGAAATAACTGCCCCCCGCTTTTTAAAAACTTTTTTGGGAAGGAGCCTCGCTCTGTCGCCCAGGCTGGAGTGCAGTGGTGCGATCTCGGCTCACTGCAAGCTCCGCCTCCTGGGTTCATGCCATTCTCCTGCCTCAGCCTCCAGGAGCCTGCCACCACGCCCGGCTAATTTTTTGTATTTTTAGTAGAGACGGGGTTTCACCATGTTAGCCAGGATGGTCTTGATCTCCTGACCTCGTGATCGGCCCACCTCGGCTTCCCAAAGTGCTGGGATTATAGGCGTGAGCCACCACACCCGGTCAACTGCCTCTTTTTAATTGAGAAAACATGAGATCATCCTCATCTGGTACCACTTGAAAAAAAGAAGTTTGGTCCATGGAGTTTGGTCTGTTCCTGTCTGCTCCACTTAACCATTCTGCTGCCTTTTTGGTTTACGCAATCTATCTTTCAGAGAACTGATGACAAAGAGGGATGCACTCTTCCATAACAACTCCATACTTGCTAGTTTCTCCTTGGATTTATAGGTTTTGTTTTATATATTTTATTGTTGATACTTGGGAAATAAGGCATACCATGAACTTTCAGGTGTCTATGAATAGTTTATGCTTTAAAATCACTTTGACATTACCAACTGTATCTTGTTTTGCTCAACCCCTTTTGTCCCTAACTACCACCACACTACAGGTTTTTGCTATGTGTCTCTTATCACAGGAATCTAAAGATGGTTCATTAAAAAGGAACTTTTTTTTTTTTTTTTTTTT